TGCAACACATTTCAATGCTAATGTGTCAAACCATTTCTTTTCTTTATGTGCAGAAGTTAGATGTGCACAATGAGTTTATTGTGATGTCAGTTTTCTGAATAAATAATTTCAGTGTATGAATAGACAAGTGTGAAATCCTTAGTGCATGCTAAATGAAGGTGTTGTTAAAGCAATTAAAAATTATTGTCCATGTATTATCCCTAGACAATAAAACTTTCTATTGAAGAATGGATTGAATAAATTGAATGAGTTGAAATTGAGAAATAGCCACACTTTCCTTAGATTCAGAAGAAAAATACTTTGAAAGGTCATTAACTTTTGTTTAAAACTTCATGGAAGAAAATTGCTCAATAAGGACAGAATATAAAAGGTGAACAAGAAACCAGTTTAACTAAAATTTTTGAGTAATAAGAAGAAGGTTAAGGTAATGTCTTCAAATGACAACCTTGAAAGATGTTTCATTGGAAAAAATCTTGAAGAGAAGTGCCACCTACTTACTTATACAAAGGTAGCTGGATTAAAACCCCTTGAACTTCTAAACGATGAAGAAAAGGATTTGGTTTCAGTGAGATCAGGAGTTGTACCAGGCAAAGGAATGACAATATGCTTTCATCATGAGCAAACTCTCTTAAAGCAGTTCACTTCATTGCAAAGGAGTTGTTGTGACCCATTTGTAAGACATAAAAAGGCAGTTAAAGGATGTTTACGGGAAATAACACAAGCATTGGCTAAGGAATTGCAGCAGGTTAATGTTGAAGTGGTGCCAGGTTGGAAGCTTTGCCCAACATGTCGTAGTGAGGTTTCAAAAAAACTGGCAAATGTTAATGAGGGGGAGACACTGCAGCCTGAATTGTACGATGGGATCCTCCAAGAAACCAAAGAAACTGAGTTGCTAGAAGAGCTTCACAGAGATGAGGTGCGAGGAAAACTCAATTCTAGCTTGGAAGAGATGGATGTTAGCCCCATAAAACTTCACGGAGTTGCATCTCACTCTAGGCCTGCGTATGGAAAGCGCAAGCTTACACAAATTGAAAGCAGACTGCAAGAACAGAAGAAAGTTATCCAGAAACAAATATCGGAAGCTATGAATGTGACAACCGAGTCAATCCAGATCTCAGAACCATCAATACCAGACAACTATGATGAAGTAAAGAAGAAAGCAGATGATCTGGATATCCTTGTGGCATTGATGAAAGAGAAACTCAAAGTCTCAAACAGAGGACAAAGACTGCAAATTTTAACACTTGCACCTCGGTCGTGGTCTATTCCGAAAACCATGGAAGAATTTGAAGTGACAGCTTACATGGTAAGACAAGCAAGGAAGCTAGGTGCTGAAAAAGGAATACTGGGAACGCCAAATGAAAAGAAAGGGAAAGTCATTTCTGAAGATTTAAAACAAAGAGTTGTTGCGTTCTATTGTGATGATGAGTACAGTCGTCAAATGCCAGGAAAAAAAGACACAGTCAGCATCAGAAGAAATGTCCCTGTCCAGAAAAGGCTTCTTTTGTGTAACCTTAAAGAGCTGTATTCTCTCTTTAAAGTCCAAAATCCTGAAGTGAAGATCGGCTTCTCAAAGTTTTGTAGTTTACGGCCAAAATGGTGTGTATTGGTTGGTCGATCTGGCACACATTCTGTTTGTGTTTGTACAATTCATCAAAATGTTGAACTTATGTTGGCTTCTGTCAAGTTAAGCAAAGATCGTCACCAGCTTATGGATATGCTAGTTTGCAACAGAGATTCGAAGCAGTGTATGGTACATCGCTGTAAGAGCTGTCCACCTATGCGAAATCTGGAAGAGTATTTGTTGCAGCAATTTGAAACACAAAATGACAGTGAGGAAGAAGATGAAGATAACATTGAAGAGCAAATCATCCAGTTTCAACAATGGACGACTGTTGATCGTGCTGAACTTGTCAGTCAGTCACTTCCTGTTTCTGACTTTGTCAATTTACTTGCCGAGAAGCTTAACAATTTGACATCACATTCGTACATCGCAAAGTCACAGATGCAATATTTGAAAAAATGCAAAGAAAACCTAAAGGAAAACGAACTTATTGTCTTAGGGGACTTTGCTGAAAATTATAAATTTGTAGTGCAAGATGAAGTCCAAGGGTACCACTGGAACCAGCAAGGATGCACTTTGCATCCAGTCATCATCTACTTCAAAAAGGACAGTGAATTGAAGCATGTGGAACTGTGTTTCATTTCGGATGATCTAAACCATGATACATCTTTTGTTTACGAAGTCATTTGCCAAACAATCAAGTTTGCAAAGTACAATATTTCAAACAATGTAAAACGATGCCTGTACTTCAGTGATGGTTGTGCTGGGCAATATAAAAATTGCAAAAATTTTATGAATTTGTGTTTGCACAAAAAAGATTTCCAAATTGATGGTAGTTGGTCATTTTTTGCTACCAGTCATGGTAAATCTCCGTGTGATGGACTCGGAGGGACACTCAAACGATTAGCAGCAAGGGCCAGTCTTCAACGACCAACTACTGAGCAAATACTTTCTGCAGAGCAGCTACTCGAATTTTGCCAAAAGGAAATACCTGGCATTAAAGTTCTTTTCATTTCCAAGCTCAGTATGGAATCTGTGCGAAAGAATTTAAAGGGCAGGTTTGATTTAACAAATACACTGCCAGGAACTCGAAGCTATCATGAATTCAATCCTATTTCAGAGACTGTAATGGCTGCTAAACGAGTTTCAGTGGATGAAGAGTATGCAATTCAGTATGACTTAGTCAAAGGGAAAGAGTGCCTGCCAGAGGAGGATAGCATTGAGATTAAAATTTCAGACTTCATTGTCTGTTATTATGATGAAGAGATTTGGATTGGACTGGTAGATGATCTAGATGATGAAAATGAGGATGCTCAAGTCAAATTCATGCATCCAAATTACCCATCAAGATCTTATTCCTGGCCAAGAAGAGAAGATATTTGTTTCGTGCCTTTTGTAAATATTATATGCATAATAAGCACTCCAAGCACAGCAACAGGAAGACAGTACGTTCTAAACAACGAGGACAAAATAAAGATCGAAAGTGAAATTAATGCACATAGCTTGTATTTAAAGCCATAGTAATATACTAATAATAATAACAATTATTATATTATTTTATAATTATTATAACATAGTAATAACAATTTTTATCCCAAGCAAGCATGAATTTTCAAGCGTTTGAGCAAGGATTTTCAGAGTTTATATCTATTTTATATAAATTCCTGCACAACAAGAAATGGAATCTTGCCCTTTTTAGTGTTCCCAAACATAAATTTTCAAAAATTTTCCCTCTTTTTCCAAGGTAGCTAGCTCTATACTGAGATGAGACACCAACATCATCCTTACGTTTTTATACAGTGTAAGGCATGATGATTCACCATGCCAAAACTCATTTTGGTAACACTAATCAGAAATAGAGAAAAATTTACTCAAGCTTTTTAACTTTTTGCATTTTCGTTATTCACATATTTTTGGAATGTCATAATCTGATATCAATTAGAAGGTATTCCTTAAGTCAAATGATGGTTCTGATTGATTTTTTGAAATCCTCATACCTTAAAATACCAGAATCCAAATTTTCAAATCTGTAGGTACAAAGAAACTTACGCTTTGGTAAAAATATTTCTAAATTTTTCATGACCGCAAATTCAAAATGGCGGATTTAAGGGTTTTTTGGGGTATTTTTAGCAAAATTGAAACACTTATAGCTCTAAAACCGTATAACTTATAAGCATCAAATTTGGAGACTGGAATAACCTTGCCAGGAATAGTGTTTTGTTAGATTTTGAGCCAAATCTAAGAGGTATGGTGTCATAGCCCATTTGAATTGACATGGAGTGACCCCAGGGTGAATTATAAATAATCGGCTGTTTGGGGTGGCGAAATGTAGCCGCTGGTTGTATTAACGGGAAGCCGCATTAACAGGGTTTTTTTATGAGACTATGTAAAGCTGTTTTTCTTGGCCAAACAAATAAGGACGTAATAATGAGGTGGCTGTATTACCAAAGTGGCCATAAGGCCGGGTTCCACTGTACCAGTGGTGCACTTGTGATAAGTGTGCACATGTGAAACTGCACCAAATTTTCCAGTGTTTGAGTTCCTACTAAAATATGCAAGGTATTTTAATAATGTTTCTTCAAGAAACAATCTTGATGTCCACTATAATTTTATCAGCACCCCCCCCCTCTCTCGTATATGCCCCCCTCAAAAAAATGCCACCTCAATTAATGCCCCATCCAAAAATGTAAAAAATAAATAAGCCACTGGGGCTTATTAGAGGGTGTGCGATATATTATATTATATTTTCCATTTGCCTTGCTTCAATGTTGCAGGCTTTTTCGTTTGAGCAAGCGCTTGATTGCTCACGCAAAACGGTAAACTTTGAGGAGTTAATGTTTCATGAATTAACACTTTTATAGTCATCTTTTGTGACCCAATCAAGTGACATAGATGATACAAAAGCCGGTTTATCAAAACACAGGAACCATAAGTAAGCTGAATTTACCACATCGCGATGGAAGAGTGCATTTGGAAATTTGAACTACATTTTTAAGCATTCTTAAAGAGGTTTTTGACAACTTTTTGCGATCATCTGGCAATAACATTTTTAAGACCTTCATGATGTATATACATAAAGTTTATAAACGAAGCACATTTATACTGGGTATATATTTAATATTTCTTGGAGTACATTGAAGATCATCGTAACAGTTGGTTTTCATTTGATTTTGTGGGCTATTTCTTATGATGTTGATTGTGTACATTTAAGAAAATATGATCAAAAGACAAAAATTATCTAGGAGCTTGGTTAACCAAGTGCCTAACTTTTGCTCATTTGAAGGCTGTTAGGAAGAGCTTCTGAGTTTCATGATTGCACTTTTCTAAATGTATAAATTTATTGATGTGGCTATCTACATTTCTTGTAGCAATGTGGCTTGTAGCTTGCCAGGGGCTCCCAGTGTGAAGAGACATAAACTAAATGAACCTGAGCCAGATCAATGTGATGAAATTTTTTCTAATGAAGAGAATGAGATCTCTGATGATAAACAGTGTAAGCTCACAGAAGCAAAAAGGCCAAGAAAGCTCAGAAGAAGCACTAAGGGTTCCAAGCCCTCTGTGTCTAGGTCAAGGACTTCAAAACGATCATCTACAAAAGCAAAAGCTGTGGCAGTCAAATCAGCCTCAAGAGTTACCAGGTCTGCAGCCAAAGATACAACTTTAAATGAAAGCACCATATTTATAGAGTCTAGGTCTGTATATTTTCTTGATGTATTAGACTCATGTTTAACAGCTTTTGTATATGCTACCAGAATGAGTGTTTGCGATGTTGAATTAATAAAAGTTGTGTGATCACATTTCGGAAAAAGGTAGCCATTGGTAACTAATGTATATGCTCATTTATAAAACAAGGCAGATTATTCCTTTAGTTGGCAATTTAAGTACCAGGTGAGCTATAGTCTATATTTTGCCAAAGGATTTGAAATTTTTATCCAGATTTGGGATTTTGATATCTATTAACCTAATTTCTTTGACAAGCACCATCTTTAACTTTTACAAGAATCATCACAAGAGGCAACTGCATAGTAGATAAAATATAGTTACCATAGATTAGATTAGAAAAAACAGAGTAATGTAATGCATCTAGATACAAAAGAAGTTTGACAATAAATAGAATTGTACACAACATACAGGGCTTCCTAGATAAAATAAATTTTTTGAAGTTTAACTTGTTCTACCTGAAATAAATACAGATCTAGGCAAATGATTCTTTGAGATTGATCCCATTGCTTAAATTTCAATCAATAATAATTTTTTTTCCTATGCATATTAATGAATGCTAGGAATATGAGATATTAGGTTGAAATCTTTCAACTTGACAACTTATTGATTTACAAATGTATCTCAATCAATTCCTCTCAAACAGCTTACATAGTATACATGAGGCTGGATCAAGTGATGGTCATTCAGATGATCTTCAGTCAAACACAACAAAGTCATTCATAGAACATGAAGCAGACTTCTGCTTGAGTGGCAACAAAAAGTCAGACTCTACAAATTTTAACAAAGAAGTTCCAAGTTCAATGAAAAACTCAGATGATTCAGTTATACCAAGAAATTCAATACAGGTATATTGTGTTGGATTGTAATATTTCTTACCAGTCTTAACGGCCTTTTGGGAAGGTCTTTTGGGAAATTTTTCTACTCAAGTGAAACATTTTCTATGATATGACAATTTTGCTTCAAATACTATGACTAAAATTATGAACAAAGTATCTTTGTATTATATCTATATCAGCATTTATAAATAAAAAACTTTCTCTAAAACACAAACTTTTTTAAAATGAAAAATACAGTTTTGGGAATTTTTAGCTCAAAGTTACTCTCAGATTTGTGAGTATAAAACAGCAACTTACCACAGGGATGACTAGGAGCAATATTATTTTTGCATCACTTTTTCAAATGTGTGGAAGATGCACAAGAAAGGAAAATTAACAATTACATTAGGGGTTCGTGTTGGTGTGTTGCAAGCCCCAAATTTGGGCCCAGCAATACATTGGAAAAAAATCCATTGTTGATGAATCACAGTCTTCAATTGTCTCTAAATGGCAAAGTAAAATCACTCTAAAAAGAAATAAAAAGATCTGATCAAAAGCAATTTATCAGTGGATAAAGGCATTTTTTGTAAGCAAGTAAGAATTTCAGATAATGCTGAAAGTTTTTTCGTTTTTTTGGGATCTGATTCTTGGATCTCTTTTAAGAAATTTCTTATAAAGGATAAATGCAGGAACTCCCTTTCCAGCGTATCAAAAAGAATCAGTGAAGAACCTGTTTTCCCGTTGGTCTTCTTTGAATAAACAAGATGGTTGTAACCAGGCCTGGCCGTTTGTATTTTTATAGGTGAGCTGTGAATCGCTCCCCTCATTTGCTGAGGCGAGCTAAATCAGTAACACATAGAATGTACTTTAAAGACAATCAACAGATGACTTAATAAGCCCCTTTAGTATCTGTCGGTTGCCTTAATGTAATTGCCTCAGTCAGGAGTGTTATGTTTTACTTCTTTCAATTTGTATTTGCTTTAACCGTGACTTAGGCACCCCCTTTACTTGAAGTATTTGAAAGAACAGACTCTCTCCGTTTTATGTAAAGCTGGCACAACACAAAAACAACAATTCTCTTGCAAAACAATCTTTTTGTTGCACAGAATTTGAAAATGGCTTTAAAAAACAAATTTTGAAACAAACTTGATTATACGTCTAGCACTCTTCAGAGAATAAAACGTCAGAACATAGAAGGAAAACTCTACGCTAAAATACCCAGTTTTGGATCGAAATAGGCCATCAGAAAACGCGAGGACATGACTGTTGAGGTTTTCCAATAAGTGCCCCTTTCCTATTGAAAATGTTACCAATTGCTACATAGATGGAACGATGATCAGGCTTTGCCAATAATGCGAAACATGTCGCCGTTATAGTTTTTCACCCAATCTGGGTTTTTCAGTAAATGCTGCTCGATAGTGGAATTCCATGTTTTGGTTGTCGTTTTTGATCTGCAAGACAGTACCCTGTTCTCTTTGAGGGATAGTTTTGTTTCTATTGCTGGAAGGGACCTGCTGTCTTATTATATCCCCAATCTACGATTCCTACCCATTTCTTCGACTTTCCTTCCAAAATATTCCTGTTTTCTTAAGATTGAAAGGTTCTAATCGCTACAAACGTACCTTTCGGTTAACTATCCTTTTCCAAATAGATCGAAGTTTATGCCTATCAATCATAACAAAAACCGCCCAACAAGCAAAAAGTTCATTGCAAAAAATGCAGTGACGGGAGAAATCGCTGTTACAAAAATAAGCCAATTAACCCGTTTTCAGGGTTCTCTGAATAGAAAAAGGGCAAATGAATGGAAATTTTAGGGGAGCGATTCTCCCTTCATGTTCTGTTTAGGAGAGCAATTCATAGCTCGCCTCAGGTTGCGAGGGGAGCATGGAGGCGAGCGCGAGCTATCGCTCGCCTCAAACGGCCAGGCCTGCTGTAACTACTGTTTAAAGAAATTGCAAGTGGTGGTTTGTTTTGTAAAACTATTTGTCAGCCCCTAGTTTTAAGTCACTTTGTGGGCATATTATTAAAATCGCTACTATGATTAGAATTCTAATAATGATAAATGGTGTGTAAAAGGTCTCTGTACACATTCAAGGTTTTGTTCAGTTTATCATTCATTTTAAATTCTTTTTCATATAATAATTCAAGTATCAAGCAACTTGAAACAATTTGAATACCTACTGTTTACAAATTAAATTTTTAAATTTTGAAAAGGATGCAGACTGAAAAATTAATCAAAGAAAAATACATATTGAGACATATCTGGCACAGTCTTTTCGTTTGTGGTGCTGCTCTTGTGTTTGCCCCCTGTCCCTGTTTTGAAATCATTGGATTTGCATTCTAAGCACCCAGACAAAGACCATTCAGTTGATCTTCCAAAACATGATTTATTTTGAAAAAGCTAATAAAGGGCTCTCAGTCTGAGCCCAGGCGAGACAAGGTGCGCATTTTGTCATGCACCTCATCCATTTGCATTTAAGATTACTAAGTGTGGCATTCATGATTCAGGGAAACGTTTCATAATGTACATGGTAAACAATTGAAAACTGTTTGTGCCAGTCGCGTGTGGTGAAAGAGCCACTTTGAATCGACATTGCCACTGTTTTCTGTACAGGAAGTGATTTTAGACACTTTTGGTGGTCTATTAAACTTGTTAGTCAAGAGTTATATTAATCTTTGGTACCACAAAGGTATTCCTTTTGAATGTAAAAATAATTGTAGCTCATTGTCAAAGCATTATCAAAGCTTGCTTTGATTTAAACAAGAAATTATGAATCACATGCCTTGATAAGAAATATTGCTTTGAGGCGCCCGATCAGCCAAGCACCTGCTAAAATCTTTACAAGTAGGCCTGCTAACATGTCAGCAAAACCAGTAAACATCACTGAAGAAAGGTAAATTGCTGTGTTATTTGATTCCCAGAAGTACTAACAGGGCTGCTAGGCTGCTCTATTTCAAGCATCAAAAACAATTGAATTTTGCTTCAGCTGACTCCCATCAGAAAGATTTGGCTGTTTCCATTATTAGAAACGGGGAAGTAGTCATGTGACCAGGATATTCAAACTAGCTTTCGACAATTTAAAATACCGTGGAAAGAACATAATAGACATCTGTGGTTAATGACCTGTAGGTAATAATCTCCCTACGAATAGAGGGCCGATGCCATATTATTTCTACAAAGTTTGTTGTGTCTAGCAGAAGAAAGCAGCAAACTGATTGAAACTTTGAGAATAAAATGTTACTATACAGTAATAATGGTAAAAACACTACCGGCCTGCTGCCGGTTACTGGCCATGTTCTGGGAAATGCACAGTTGTAGATTTATGACAGTCACGCCTAATTCTTATGTTTTTTCCTAATCCTTGTTTTGTTTATTTAGATTGTGGCTAGTAAAGAAGCTATCATTGAAGAAAAGGATGCTGCACATAGTTCCAAGGAAATGTTGTCAGGAAATGAGATAATAAGGGATGTTGATATGGTGGATGATGCAAACCAACAGACAAATCAATGCAAGGTCAGGTTAGAAAGACTAAGTGCTGCTGAAATTGAAAATAAATGCGAAACTGAACAAGATCATGTAGGAGTCAACAATTGCGAGAACATGTCAAATCAAGAAACAGAAAAGCTAATGGCTCTTGAAAAGCAAACAATTGTTTGCGAATCTCCAAGCAATCTTGTACCAGGGGTACAAATAGCAAAAATTAAAGAAAGATTATTTGAAAAAATAAAAGTGCCGGCATCAAGTACACCCAAAGCTCAAAGTCCAAGAAGAGGGAGAAGTCCTCTAAGAGGGGGTAACTGCAACCCAAGGAAGGAAAATAGTCCTGCTTCTAAAGGAAGAAAAATAGAAAAAGTAATTGTAAGTGACCAGATAGATAACAGTGAGGATGTTATTGTTGATGAAAAGAAGATGGAGGTTTTCATTTCTACTGACTGTGATCCAATCAAAGAAGTTGAATCTAGTGAAAATAAGGATTCGAATGGTGAAGAATTTGACAATGACTCAGATGGTTGCTATGAGAGAAAGGGACCCAAAATAGTGAAGGTATGGAAACAATTTGGGGACTGGGTCATTCAAAAGTACATGCATCCAGTTTTACCTTTTTACTTCCTGTTTAGTTTAGTTGGTTTATACAACCTTTTCACCGTCTGGTTTGTCATATGTTTGCTTTAGAACTTCACATACTAGTAAAGCAGTTTTTATAAGGGATCATGGAATTTTAGTAATAAAAAATAGGTATTTTCAAATATGTAGGAAACATATGAGCTTATGCTTTTTTGGAGGGGTAGACACAAAACCATAAGTAATAATACAAGCTCTGGCACCAAGATGCATTTCCTAACCTAAAGTTGCCGGGAAAATGGTCCACCCCTGTTGTCAGCATTACACTAGGTACAAGCAAGGCTGATACTTAGTTTAAATCTCTTGATGTGAAATTCTCTGAGTGATCTCTTAGTGACAGTATATGTACAGTAGATATACTTTGAAGGCAAACATCTCAAAGGGATTATTTATCAGCTTTTTGCATATCTGTTCTTTCTTTTGACAGCCAGTAAAACCCAAAAACATTGTTTCTGGGGTTCACTCGTTGATACAAGCTGCAAACCAGAACAATAATGTGATAAACCAGGTGAGCAAACAGTATTGTCACAAGTATTTTGAAATATCATTTTTGGTGCTATTTTGTATTTGCTACAAACATTCCTTGTCTGCTATGCTGTTCATTTCCAAAATGAACATCAAATCTTTATCATATGCAGGGGCAGAGCCAGAATTTTAGAATAAGAGGGGCGAAATCTTTTGTTTGGCTTACCTTCAGTGTCTTCCTCACAACTACTTTGTGGACAAACTGGGTTGGTCAGCTGGCATTTACCTGCCATGGAGGGCAATTTGAAGGTAACTGGATAAAAGACACTGAAATAAAGTTACCACATTGGCTCAGATTCAAAGACTACCATTATTTTGCAAAACATTTTTATTTCAGGCACCTTACACAAAGAAGGGAAACATAGTTGTTGGAATTACTTCCTTTATCAAGTCTAACACAGAAACAAAAACGGAAACAGTTCAGGTCAGGATGAAAAATCATCTGATTAAAAATATTCAGAATCGCAACAGTTTGTAATCCCTTCTTCAAGAGGTCTTCACACTCTTTTTATCAAAATAATGAATTTCCCTGTGATTATGAAAGTTTTTAACTAAATCTCGAGGGCATTTTTAGATGTCTTAAAGAATGAATTTGGCAATCATACATTAGAAGATTTCTTATATGTGGTGTTTGTAAGTGTATTTTGTTGACAATTTTCTGTATCTTATGCAAGTATATATGTATTTGAACAGTTTTTTGGCGGTACAGAACTTGAAAATGGCTTTGAAAAAAGCAAAATTTTTACAACATATTAACTAAAAGCTTTTTCGTCTGACACTCCTCAGAGCATAACACGTGAGAAACGTCAAATTTAAATAAACTGCATGCTGAACTGGAAAAACTTAAAACGATCTTTCTGGACAACGGCTATCGAGAAGACGGCATTTTATCTTATACTGAGGAGAAGATTGCAAGTTTTTCGTCTGCTCAAGAGTTTGGTCCGCAAAAGTGCCCAGTTTATTTGAAACAACCATGGATTGGTAACACTTCCTTGCGATTCGAGAGTCAGATTAGGCAAGCCATAACAAAATGTTTCTTTGCTGTCAATCCTCGTATTGTTTACAGCACTAGGAGAGCCCTTCCATCCATTCAAAAGGATTGCGTTTCTACCAACCAAAAAAGTTCCTTTATTTATGAATTTACGTGCCAGTGTGATTCTGGCTACGTAGAACGCACAATCCAAAGATTGGGGGATATGATACAACAGTTTGTTCCTTCCAACATAAGAAACAAAACTGCCCCTCAAAGAGAACAGCCTCCTCGATCTTGCAGGTTTAGAAACACTGTTAAAACAAGTGATTCTGTCATCGGTCAACATCTTTTAGACAACCCAGATTGTGCAAAACTCTATAATGACGACATGTTTCGGATAATTGGCAGAGCCCGGTTGTCCTTCAATCTAGCAGTTTTGGAATCGATCTACATACAAACAAAAAACCGCCATTCTGTAGACAGAAGGAGTTCGTTCTCTCTTGGACTCTAGTGGTAATTTTTCTTTAGGCACGCGGCACTGATTGGTCAACTATACCGATTTTGTGCTTGCGTTTTTCTGATTGGCCTATTTCGATCCACAACTGGGTATATATTTTTCATCGTGTTCTTTCGGACCCTTATTCTGACATGTTATGCTCTGAGGAGTGTCAGACGAAAAAGCTTTTAGTTAAAGGCAATCTGTCACGACGTTGATTGGTTATAAGAATAAAGGGATTTTATTGTTTCCAGTCCCCCTTTAATTTATCGCATTGTAAAAAATATGGCGGAGCACTGGAATCGTGTTTAGGCTATTGTTCCAGCTATTGTTCTCGTTAACCAATCCACAACGAGACAGATTGCCTTTAATATGTTGTAAAATGTTTGCTTTTTTCAAAGCCATATAGGCATTTATATAACTGTTCAAGTTTTTCATTGTCACGCTCTGCAAATATCAAAGAGAACCATGCCTGATTTTCTTTTGGTAGTTCATTTACATTATTTTGTGTTTTTTATATTAGGAAAGAAAAAAGCGCATAGAAGAGGAAGTCCGAAAGCGTGAACAAGTCCGAAAAAAACTTGTCGAGCAGGCTGAACTCAGGAGGCAACAAGAAATTGATGAAAGAAAGAAGTGAGTTCCCCATGCCTTCCAATTTTTCAGCATATGATGTATTCTATGCTTTCTATGTATTCTATGTACAAATATTCTATGTCACCGAGATTTCAGGGTTTCTCTTCGCCATTTGATGCAGTATTTATTGAGAAAGTATCAATGAGCACATGGCTTCGACTAGATCATCAAATACTTCAATGTGGATCTGGCCTAGGGAGGAATGAAGCTTCACTGCGCTCCGATAACAATCTGGTACAGTTAACTCTAGCCTTAGATCCCATCAACTGAGAACAACCTTCTTTAAGTGTGGAATAATTCTGTAGCCTCAATAACTGCAAAAGAAACGATTCAAATATATGGAGTCCTAAAAACAGTCAAAATAATGTTTAGTCATGTGCTAAGCAATGCAACAACAGTAGCCGCACGCAATCAAATATGAAATTGTCTTTCTGTTTTTAATCAAAAAGACTCTTTTGCAGACTTGACAACAATCTGTGCCTTTTCGTGAATGTAGTGATTTCAGAAACCTTGTCGCCACCATCTTTATTGTAGCTTTTGATGTATTGCTGGGAGAAATTGAGCCATTACGCTCTTGGGATGCAATATTGATTGTTTTAATCTTGAGTGTCAAGAAAGAACTTTTTGACATGCTAAGTGGAGTGGAAGGGTGTGAACCATCGTTATAAAGCTTCCATTTGAAGAATAAGGCGCTTGAATGGTTCCTTGTCTTTGATTAATGGGCGAGTGGGAAACGATCTTTTTCTGTCAACACAAGTCAGGATCTTTTGTTTTGATGCAGAAAAAAACCAAGGACACCTAAATTCAAGTCTGATTTTGCTGGTGCCGTGAAATTTTAATCACTCTTAGTTTGGGCGTTTACTTGACTCTTGAGCAAGCAATGTTGACCTTTTTGCCGAATCGCATTTTATTTGGGCATTCCTATTTTTGCAAATATACCGTTTCCGCTTTCCCATTCTATTTTCTGTTAAAAAATCATAAACTTTAATGTTATTACCACAAAAAATGTTATTTTTGTAGACGACGGCAAGAGCGTGAACAGCGTGTTGCCGAAGCCCAGGCAAAGAAGGCACAGGAGGATGTGGCTAAAATCAAAATTACACAAGAAAAACTTGAGCTGATGAAGAAAAAAGAAGAGCGTGTCAGGAAGTATAAAGAAAAAGAAGAAGAAATGAAGCGTAAAATGAGGGAGAGAAAAATGGCTGAGGCAGAAGCAAAGCGGCGAAATGAAGAACTTGAAAGGAAAGCCAAGTTAGCTGAGAAGGAAGAAGAGGATAAGAAAAGGGCAGAGTTTTTGCAGAGAAAGCAGGAATATGAAGAGGTAGAGCGTAAAAAGAAAATTGAAGAGCAGAAACGGTTGGAGGAGCAGCGACTTGAATGCCATCAACGCGACTTACAACTTCAAGAAGAAAGAATTAGAAGAGAGATAGAGGAGAGGGAGGCTCTGGTTAGGAAAAGACTGGAGGAGAAAGCTCAGAGAGAAAAGGAGGAGCGAGAGCTGAAAGAGCAGCAAGAAAAGAAGCGACTCGAGAAGGAAAGGCAAGAGAGAGAGGAACAAGAAAGTCTGAGAAAGGAAGCTGAGGAATTAGAGAGAGCACGAAAAGAAGCTGAAGCTAAATTGAAAAAGGAAAGGGAGCTGAAAGAAGCCAAGGAACAGGAAATGAAAGAGCGCGAAGCTTACTATAAGAAGAAATTGGAGCAAAAGCAGCTTGGTGAAGTTAAAAGAACCTTTGATAAAGCAGAGCTAGATATTAAAGAGTCAGTGATGAAATCGCCGGCTCATCCAGCACCACATCTTAATAAGACAGCGCAGAATCAAGTCCAGAAGGTTCATTGTACTTCTTACAAGACGCCTACGTTGAATAAAGTGAAAAGCAAATTGCACAAGAAAAGGTCGCCGTCTCTTCAGTCGTATGATATTGAAGATTTAAATGAAGATGATTCGACTGATGATGAAGAAGATCCAGCCCAAATGGTGCCTAGCTGGGCCAAAGGTGCGAATCTCACGGAGTCCGTACGCCAACAGCAACGCAGTGACATTGACCCTTACGAAATATTTGCCAACCTGCTTCAGCCACCAAAGTTAGAGGAAATTTTCCCTAAATTAAGAGCAAGGTTTTTCAAGCGTACCAGTAGTGCGTGCTGGGATCATCCACCAAGGCCGGCTAAAACGGTGCTGTAAATATGTGTACAATTGATTTTTGTAGCAGTTTTTAGACATTTTATAGATACTAGCATGATTTGGTAGAGTAGTCAAGTTGGTAAATACAAAAAGTAACCGAAGGTCTCCTGAAAGCAACACCCAACATTCCACATTGTAGGCGGATTCTTTTGAAGCAATAAAATTCACAGGAGGATAGGTAATTTTACAGGGCGACTCTGTGGTCTGTCCTAGCCGTTATAACCCTTTGACAAATTTGAAGTTTTAAATATCACAGTAACTTTGAGATCCAGTACTAAGAGTGCTGTAATTTAGTTATTTTCTACGGGCAGATTAGAAATTAGACGTTTCGGTGTGTTACGATGACCATGAATATTTTTGGTTTTTCAGTACTGTTTAAGATTACTTAAAGGCAGTGTGTCGCGCTGTTCATTGGCAATTGTTTGTTGAATTTCGAGGGTCCTCGAATTTAGAGAAGCGTGACAAATTGGTACAACTGGTCAATAGCAACTAAGAGGCGTCCTTTGTTACGAAATGAAAACTCACTGAAATATAAATTGTGTTCTTTGTTTCGCCAAACCAATGAACCGCGCGACGTACTGCCTTTAAGGCTTTCAATACCAAGGCAAGGTACAAAGCTGAAAAACCTTGAATCCTTTAATTTCGACAAATATTTCCCACCAAAGTTGTAAATATTTATAGTTTTTCTTGTTAACTCTCGTTGGATCATTTTGCAACATCATGCCTCCAGTCTCGTAGTTTTTAAAAGAATATGCGTTGATATGTACATAAATATTCTTTCGTTTTTCATTTTTCATCTTTTTCTTCGCCAATCAAATTTTCGTCAGCTTTTTTTTTTTGAAAATGTTTGTGACATTCAGCAATGTTTGCTGTTTGTTTTGATTGAAAACAAATACCTGGGATCAGATGAATCTTTTGCCCAAAACAAAGAAAAACTAACCCCATCAAAACGCTTACTCATAGGGCACTGATGATATTTGTTCCCAGTCTAAACTCGATCCGGAACTTGAACAACTAAAAATATTTTCTTAGAGAATGGCTATCCTGAGGTTGTCATTTCGGTTTACACCAAGGAGAAAATCGCAAGTTTCTCGGCCGAACTAAAATTGGTCCGCAAAAGTGCCCGCTTCATCTAAAAGTACCCTGGAACGGTAACAGTTCCCTGCGTTTTGAAAGTCAGATTAACAGGCCATTACTTATTTTTTCCTTGCTGTCAATCTGCGTATTGTTTACAGCACAAAAAGGCCCTTCTATCCATTCAAAAGGATTGCGTTCCTACCACCCAAAAAGTTCCGTTATCTATCAGTTTACATGTCAGTGTGATTCTGGCTACGCATGACGCACTACCCAAAGATTGGAGGATAGAATAAAACAGCATATCCTTTCCGGCATTAGAAACAAAACTCTGCCCGAAGAGAACAGCCTCCTCGGTCTTGCAGATCTAAACCAGCTAGTAAAACATGTGATTCCGCTATCGGGCATGCTAAAAACTGTAATGGCGACATGTCTCGGATTATTGGCAAAGTCCCATCGTCGTTCCATTTAGAAGTTTTGGAATCCATCTACATAAGCACGAAAGAACCGCTTTTGTATATACAGAAGGAAATCGTTTTCACTTTAGGACTCCATTGGTAAAATTCTCAATAGGCAAGCGGCACAGATTAGCCAACCTCAGCAGTCATGTGCTCTCGTTTGTGATTGGCCTATTTCGATCCACAACTGGGTATATATACTTCCAAGCATAGAGTTTTCGGTTTATGTCCTGACGTTTTATACTCTGAAGAGTGTCAGACGAAAAGCGTCAGTGTACTTAAATGTTTGCTCTAATCCGAGAGGCGAAGATGAAACTGTCAGTGCTAGTAAACAGAAATAAAATAATACTCTGTGAACAATGTTAATGAAATTTAGAGGTGAGACATAAATAGTTCCAGAATTACATCCACTAGCCATAACATTTTTGTCATACACGATGCAAAACTAAATTGTGCGAAGATAGCACAGCGTTCTAAGGCAAACACAACTGATTAAGAACTGAAACTACGATTATATCTCAAAATCGGCACTTTGCAATGCTTAGATATTTAAATTAATGACAGTGCTTGTATGTTTGTAAGTGGGAAAATATTCCCTTCAAGGCTACGACTGATCTTTTACGAGGATTGAAAAATCAAATTGTGCGAAGTTAGCACGGCGTTCTACGGCACTTCTAAACTCAACTGTGGGAAACTATTTAACGTAGGAAATTTTGCACCAAGGCTAATTTTGCGGTTTGAAGATTCTCACGATTGTTTTAAAAACAGTTAAATCTTCGCGTAAACGTTTCGTGATCGTGGCAACTAAAGAATTCTCTAGTCAGTGCCGTCGGAATGTACCTGCCCCTCCCATGATTTTTAAAAGTATTAATGTGCCCTTTTTATGCTAATTATATGTAGATTCCAAAACTGCTGAATGGAATGTCTACCAAAAGACCTAAAAATGTCGAAATCGTGGTTTTTTGCACAATCTGGGTTTTCTAGTACTTGATGATAGAAATATACAAAACCAAACATAACCTGAACCCTAGTTTCATGAGTCAGATTTTTGAAACAAGAAATGTACATTATGATTTGCGAACTAAAAATAATCTTTGCATTCCAAAAGCCAGGACAACTTCTTATGGTATAGAAACTGTGAGATATTTAGGTCAAAAACTGTGGCAAACACTACCTCACAGTATAAGTGAGTCCCAATCATTGGCAACATTTAAAAAAGAATTAAGAGCACACCCTATAGAATGCGACTGTAGATTGTGTAAAAAATTTATTGCTGGGTTAGGTTTTATTTAGAACATTATACCTTAAACCTTTTCAATATTGTATCATATATTTTTATTTCATACTAACTCTTTATAGATAGTTGGCCTTAATTAGCTTCTTTATAGCTATCAGCCGTTCATTTAGTACGCCAACTTTAAACAAATTATTTATTATTATTATTATTATTATTATTATAGTAAATGTGCTGCCCTATAGCGGAATCACATATTTCGGTTGTCGCTGTTGATTGCAAGTACGAGTGTTCTCTTTGGGGGAGTGTTTTGTTTCTAATTCTAGAAGGGACATACTGTTTTGTTCTCTCCCCCAATCTTTGGGTTGTGCGTCCTACGTAACCAGAATCACACTGGCGCATAAACTCTTAGTGCTCTATGTAGAAATTATCCTAGGTTCAATTTCGGGGCCAGAGGTACTAGATACGCCCCTCTGGCTGAAGGATTAGAATTACCAATGGGTTCAAAATGTTCCAAAGGTTCGATAAAACAAAAGGAAAGATTAAATATAAGAGGACCGTATATATTAACTCAAAAAGATAAAGTAATTTAAAGCATAAAATTCATAATTTCTTCTTTGTTCGCTCTTGAGGGTTCATAGGTGTGTTCATCGTTTAGTAAATAAGAGTTCATAGTTTCACCTGAGAGTTCTTTCTTGCTTCGATTTCTTGAATGCGTTCAAATTTCTTTATACTTCCATTCCACTCTTGGATCACGTTCGATTTAAAAGCCATGCAGCAATCACCGTCAATCAAATCATACAAAAATTCAACTCAATAAAAGATAGCTTGTAAATAAAAAAGGAAAGGTCAAGAAGAAAGCAAGGGTCAGTCATAATGTCTCTTATGCTAGGAAGTTTACGGCAGCCTTTTGGGCTTCTTCTAGTTTTCTTTTCTTTTGTTCCCTTTTAGAGTGGTTGCCACAGAACTTTCGATATTTTCCTGCAAACTTTGCACAAATTCTTTATATTAAAAAATGTATCCTGAAAATCTCTGCCATTGGATTTTAGAAAAATAATTATCAAATAATTCATTGAATTTATTTTTATGCGGGAAATTTTTGAAGCTGACCTCTGTCAATAGATATCAGTTCCAGAATCATTTCGTCTATTTTTCCAATTTCAGGCCTATTTTCGATGGAATCTAGTTTTTTTTTATTACTAATTTCCTGAAAGTTCAGCCAAAAACAATACATAAACATTTGCCTCTAGACATTTGTCGATTAATATTCTTTATGTATAAGAAACCAAATTGTCTTATTTAAAAGTTTCAGGTTTCTTATATGCGGCTACATACAGTTTGCTCTTAGATATGCCAAAATTTAAAATTACACACCAAACCAAATTTACAATAGCGTTTTTATAGAAAACTTCTGCTTACACACCCCACTATTTGCCAATAATGCTATTTTTCAGAATAGGGAGGGCAGAATCCAAAAAAATCACGCAAAAGCGACAAGCAGCAACCAAAGGAAGTGCAAAGAAAGTGCCTGCATCTTCATCTCTGACACAGGCCTTGATCTTGATCTGTCTCTTCTTTATGGTTGACTCCAAGAGGTTAAACGACTTTGAAAGATCTTCAAATTCCTTGTCACTTTCTGACTTATTTGGAGGCAGCAGCTGATGTGGATAATATGCGGAAGAACGCCGTAGTTGGCACAAAAGCGCATTTGACAGTTGGTATGTCCTCTTGGTGCGATGATGACAGTCGATTGCGATCAACTATTGTCTTATCGAGGTGAGGACCCTTCTGGTGTTAAGGGTCCTTTTTGATTTTGGCATTTGAGGGTCCTGGGTCTTAGGGTCTTATGGTCTGGTTTTTACGGTATGCCATTAGTCCAATTTTGATAAATCTCGTCATGCTGACAACAAAAACCAATTAACTGTCGGAAATGGTTCATAACGCTAGGGCGTGGCCTTAAGTTTTCCCGAATTGTTGAATTCAGGAGTGGCGGCATGGGGGGGCAAGGGGGGGCTTTAGCCCCCCCTAGATTTTTGTTAGCCCCCCCGTCGGCAGCCAATCAATTTTTGCTTTCTCAATACCGTCGGCACTTGATGGATGTCACCCGGTTTACATGTTGTTTAAATGACATAAATAATCGAGGAGAAAACTACACTGGCTGGTTTATGGTTTTCTCAATGGCTTTTCTTCGGCAATTTTATTATCAAAGTGGCATTATATCATGTCGCTTCCGTGATAGCTATGACATTGTTTCATGGTGCTCCCTCGCATGACCCACAATACCATGGTGCTCCTCTCGGTTGAAATTCCTGTTGCTGCTTGGAATTCATGCGAAACGTGCAGATGCTTGATTTGGATCATGTTTTGGACCGTTTCAAGGAAATTTACCCTAACAACAGCAAAATCACGCTGTCATAAATAAAGTCTTTAATGAATTTTCTTCTTAAGGGATTCTCTTTTCGTTTCAAGACATTATTATTGCCAATGAAAACATTTCGATCATGAGCTCATTTTGCGTAATAAATTTTTCAAAAAGCACTTCTTGTCCTTTTTCATCAACTATTTTTCAATAGCATTGTTCACCGCATAGCTTGCGACAAACAAATGGTTTAGAGAAAACCATTGATTAACTTCTTCCACCATAGATAGGAAGAAATATTCAACAATAGGCAATATTTGCGCATTAAGTTTCTAACAAGGCACAAATTGCCGAGAAAATCTGGTGGACTCCGACACAGGTTGGAAAGTGGGGGACGGGAAAAGGGCAAGGGAGAATTTTGCACCCACAACAAAAGATTTTGGAAAAATGCTCTATTGCTTTGTAAAAAGGTGGGGGCCATGACCCTTTGGTGCCCCTTCATTGGAGGTGCTTTCAGGGGCATCGCGACTGGGGGGTTGTCATACCCACCTCAATAGTATCTCAATAGGAAATTTCAGGTAAAATCCGCTCGGTGGGAGAAACGCTTTAGGTATTTCAGAGACCTTCCTGTCATAAAATCAATAAAGGATCAAGCAATCTTAGGTAAAATTGTGCCTCGTGTTCATTTCTCCTAAAGTTTCTCAGTAGAAGCGTCAACTGCAATTCACTATGAGCTCCACATTCAAAAGGCATGCTAAGATGGAGAGAGGGATCTAAATTTAGAAGTAACTGACAACCTGGTATTTTTCAAGACCACGGCGAAATTGTTGTTTTTCTCTGCTGTAAAAAAGTTTTGCAAAAAGACAATAATTTTCAATGGGATTAGGAGGATTGCTTTAGTATCTGCTTAAAAGGGTGCAATTTCCAGGGAGCTAGAAGCATCACAATTCGAAAATTTCCTTCCCCTTCGGCGGCAACCATGGTGCCGCCTCAGGTAGTAACTATATATTTTGCCCGTCCCGATATAGAGATTTGACAAGACTATTAGGAAAGTCGGTTATCTTACAGAGTTAGATTGACAAAATGTATTGCAGAGGTTTGTGGCACCAGCTAAAAAGTTTCAGCCAATAATTTTTTAATCAGGTAAATTTGCATTCCACACCCCCCCCCCCCTCCAACGAGGCTTGCCTCGCGACGGCCCTGCCTGCTATACGGGGCAAATCGATTTTTTTTCTGTCGGCAATTTGACACATCCAGCGTCGGCAGTTACGGAAAATATAAACTTCGGCACCTTGAAGGTTTGTCTCTAGCGCCACCCCTGGTTGAATTCCGACTATCTAATTTTTCAAACCTGATGACACAATCAAAACTGTGCTTGCAAGACTGTGCAAAAGATATAAAAAAGAGCAATGTGATCTTACCTATAAGCAAAAGGCTATGGCTGTTGAAACTTTTGGCTTTGTCAAAAAACTTGCTTTCTGAAGTTTCATGATAGTTCATGGTCGACTTTGCTAGGCTTCTTTGTTGGTTGACAGTGGGTCTTTAGGATCTCTGGGGTGATTCGTTTTCTTTTATGCAGATTGACGAAGATCTACAGAGATTCATGATCATTTGAGCTGACTTTCGACGACTTTCACAGATTTATGATTCAAGACGATTGTTGATCAGTCACACTGATTCACGATTATTAACACTGCTCCATATGGTGATTAATGCTGGTTCACAGCCATCTGTATCCATTCACAATGGCCCATGATTATGCAGAAATGTCGAAAAGATGAATAGTTTACTGTTTCATACGAAGTTTCGTCGTTAGATAAAGTGGTTTGTGATAACTGTAGTAAGATTCCGTGACAGACACCACCAGATGACACAAGATGAGGCACGTTCGTATAGATAGGATCAATCAGTGAATCATAGTCAGTTGTATTTTCACTGATTAACTGCGTTTAGCACTCGAAGTCGATCATATATGATATAAGTCGACTCAGATGATTCTTCTTTCAAATTCACATGGAATCATCACACAGCCTAATATGACAATAGGTCGGAAACAACTTTCAAGTATGTGCTATGCTAGTTTTCAAGGGCTTCAATCAGGGGGCGAAACTCAACTATAAGCTTAGATGCCCGATGAAAGGGCGTGTCATGCTTGATGAAAGGGCGTGTCATGCTTGATGAAAGGGCGTGTCATGCATGAAATCATCGCTGACCCCGAGAAAGGGTCTTTAGACTCAAACTGTTTGCTTAAAGTCAGAAAATATGCCTCTAGTTTTTCTGGTGTTGGCTATAAACATTTGTTTCCGAAAAGCAAGCATTTGCAAGGCCTGTCTTTTCTATAAAAGAAAAATAGTCTTCATTTTCTAAATCGCCTAGCTATTAAGAGAGCAATTCAAAAAGAGATTGAAGTAGGGTCTCAATTTTATCAAAGTGGAACAACAAAATAGACCTTGGAAATCTCGGAATTTAGAAACAGCTACGCAAACTACAATATTTTTCAACAAAAAAGAGCTTCAGTTGCATTTTCTGAGTTTGATTTTCAACTTTCGGTTGCTCCGGAAGGAATTTCAACATTTTTAGACACCCAAGCACAAAGTAAGTATCTCTGAATTCACCATAACAAAATCCCTCAAGCAAGGAAAAGTTTTTTTATTGGAAGTATTTTACAGGTACACGTAAAATCAGGTCATTCTTGCCCTGTGTTCACTTCATTCTTGCATCAAACACACTCTACTTTCCGTCTATACTTTCGCTGTCGATCAATACTTTAGACTTCATCTCGAGGCGAATATAAACATGTGCGCGTTGAGCTCGAGACGAAAGCGCTGATCCGTGGACGAAAGACAGAAATGTATATATTATGTATGTATACACTCTCTTGCTTGCCTTGTTTCTGTTTTGCTTTCCCCACTGGGCGGAGATTGAAAAAAAGATGGGGGAAAAAGACCATGAATTAAAAAACCAAGCTATGGCAAACGTAGCAATAAAAATGCGACCTAAAGAAAATTTTCGGATTTGCCCGACAGATAACAATGGCAGCCATAAATTTGCCCGACAAAATCTGCCTTTTTGAAGATTAGGAGGGTGCAGCAACCCCCCACCAGTTTCGCCCCTTCAATCAGCTGATCGATGATAGTATTGTGCAAACGTGAGCGATATAAAGTTGCAACATGGACCTTCACGATAGAAAAGGCTTGGATTTAGTGTCAAATCTATGAAAGCCGCAATGAAAATATGAAACTGGCATACATTCTTCTTTTATAAGAAAAATTTTATAAGAACACCAACCCATAAAATTGGTCAAAAGTAAAGAACAAATCACGAACAACCTGAGGCTGAGCTACTGTAAAGTGCAATTCTGAACAACTTTTTTTCTTAAAAACATAGATTTTTAGCCACGTGTGGGTGTGTTTTTGTGAATATTCAAACTTGTCAGCAAATAAAGGTTGTTGGCAAATGAGGCCTGAACACCGCCCTAGAATGATTAAAATCACAACGCCACAAACCAAATTTAATTCACCACAAAACTTTAGAATAATTCCCGAGTCAACTGTGAGAACAGCTTAAGGCCAAAAATTATTTGCATTTCGAGGAATATTAACTCGGAAATGAAATTAGTCCCTACGATTGAGTCATTCAAAACGAAATTAAACGCTTCAAACCGAGAACATTCAAGAAAGCTGATCCTTACCTTTATATTCCTTGTATCTCATTTAGTTTCTTTTTTATTGTATCAAATTATTGTAAACAGATTTTCATATTTAATACTTTTTATCTTTAATTGTAAACAGGTTTTTATCTTTAAAAGTTGGGTTTATTTGCTGGGAGAATTTAAAAGCAGATTAATTAGTTAACTGAATTGTATTACAGGGTAAATATGTTTTCAATAGATAAAATTAGATTTAAATTAAATTAATGATACAGACACAAAGCAGTAGAATTGTTCATGTTATGATAATAGCATGAAATTCGGTACACAATCTGATATGCTGATTAGGATAAAATCCACGTCAAGCTTGAAAAACGCCCCCAAAAGCAATTTTTGTACTAGGGTACTGGTACCCAGTCCTCTTCTACGTATAACACTACAACGTTTTAACTTTTCAAGTTATAGAACTGAAATGCTTTTTCTGGCATTAATTGACATGCTGAATAATATGAGATGCTTTAAAAATTCCAGAAAAGCAAATTTTTAGACTCGGTAATTGTACCCAGTCCTATATTGGGTCTTCCACTATAACTTTGTAACTATGCAAGTTATATGACTGAAAGTTTATTTCCTGGTCTAATCTGAAGTGCTAGATAAAATGAAATGTAGACCTAATTAGAAAACTTCACCAAAGGCTTTATTTAGATTGAGGTACTGATACCTAGTCCACTGTTGGCTATGGCATCAAAATTTTATGACTAGGCAAGTTGTACAACTGAAACTTTGTTTTATGACGAAATCTGACTTACTTAGTTAGATAGAGTATATGTCCAGCCTGCAAAACAAAGAAATAAACTATCTAAATACCTGAAAAAATATTTTTTGATATAACTTGATAGGCTTGTTGTTTGCATTTTTGCCAGTTAAGTTGTGAATCGCCTACCCCTCTTTATAGGTAAGCTTCAATGAGAAACAATAATAATCCATGAAAATTGGAAAGAAATCTGAAGGAAATTACTGAGCATCAACACATAAATTCTACAAGGAACAATCAAATATACAAACAGAAAAGCAGTCAACCAAACATTAAAAAATATAATATTCCTTTTATAAAAATGTTCTCAACAGTAGAGGGCCTAAAACAAAATCCCCGGTTTTCTTCAAAAAAAAATTAATATCAATGAAATGGTATATAAAAATACTAATTAACATTACAGATATCTAAATTTTAAAAATAAGCTATGGTCAGATACACATGAATATATTATATAAGGTTGGTAAATGTTACTTCATGAAGCCTAACAAAGGTGGATGCATTCTGAAAACGGTAAAAAATTGCATAGAAAAATGTTTATTCATATCTTATGACTAGGTGGACTCAAACATTACCCTAAATTAGTCAGCAGTTATTACAACATCCACTAATAGGTGGACAAAATTATAACGAACATACATAAGACATTGAAAAGAATCAGTCAAAGCTTAATGTTAACAAACAGAAAGTAAATTCATTAATGTATACAGACATCTGATGGTGAATGACCACCTGATGCTCATTTTAGTTCAAACATGGTAAGCATTACATGATGCCTTGGCCAAACTTCAGTTTACTAGTGGTCGTTTTCACAAATGAAAGCTTTGCATTTGTACAGCTTAGAAAACAGAACAGATCCCTTTCTTGTCTCTGAATGGGTTGTCAGGAAACTTTGAGACCAATGGATCAGCTCTTTTCTCATTTTCACAGAATGCAACAATCCTGTAAAAATAAAATCAAAAATAACATTTAGCACTTATCAATTCCCGCAATCCTCCCACTATAAAACTTGAGGCTTGGGTGTTCTTAGTGTTGTTCTTGTTAAAAAATTTTTTTTCTGCAACTACATAAGTTGTTTCCAAGACCTTTAAATTATGGCTTTTGCATGGTATTTCTAGCAGCATGGCTGATAAGATCTGATCTGTTTTGCTAATACAGGAGGAAGATTTTAAAAAATAATTGCTTTTCCTTTTAATTTTCCATCTGCAGTTAGGCATATTCTTACCCAGCTATTATTTCTTTGGCAAATTCAGCCTCTGTGTTGTTTCAAAGTGTGTGTTCTTATAAATTATGGACACCATTGATGCACAAATACTGCCTTTACCCATAGCTGTTTTTACAGCTTTTCAAGCAATACCAGCACAGAATAGGCAGAAAAAGAAACAGTTAAGCGATGTTTTACCCATAATTGAAACATAAACTGAAATCAAAACACATGTTTCTCAAGGATCCTGGGCCTTTAGTAAACTACCAAAGGACATTTGAAACAAACATTTTTTAATTTGAAATACAATTAATTAATTCCTTTTTAACTACAAAATTTAATCATTAGCAAGACTATGTCCAGCACAATTAATGCAATTTGATGAAAACAGGCTACTATTCAAGAATAAATTACCAGTTTTGTAGGATTACCTATTTCATATTGATTAAAAATCACGGGCTTCAATTTTAATAGAACAGGCAAGATTTTTGGTGGACACAGCAAACCTTCAAATATGGTAACTGGATACTGTATATAATGTTTAGGCAACTGTTTTTATATTACTTATATACATTTAGAGATTTATCAGTAGATATCAACTTCCCAATATCTGGGGCCTGATCATAAGAGGTTCAGTATGAAACTGCTTTACAAGTGACTAGAGAGCTGGGGTCGTTATACAAAAAAGGGATTTTTTCATAAGATTTTCTATCATCAGACAAACCCTGTCCTTTTTACATCTTTTATTACATACCTCATGCTTTATAAAATAGATTCATATTTTCATGTTAGAAGAAGAAATAAATCTTAATAGAAAGTTGCTGCATCCAAAACTTGCTTTGTGAGACAGAGGAAGAATAAGGGTAATAACGACAACAGACTTGAATACTTGCGCTTTTACTGTTTACTGAAATTTGTTGCGAGTAAAGGGGAAATAAAATGAAACTCTAAATTAAATTGCTACCTAATGTTTTTCCGCAAAACATCAGCAGAAGTTGTATCTGTCAACTTTATCAATTGAGTTAGAGGTTGAGGTTGCAAAATATCCCGGTCAAAGATTGATCTAGATTATACGAAGGTTATATCGATGTAAAGTCTGGTTATTGAAAACCTTATTCTTTTTGTCCCCGGTTTGGACTGTAATGTTAGCTTTCTGAGGTATAAGGTTGCTAAAGGGTTTGGCTAGGCCTAAATTGGCGTATACATACTCTCGAGAGCTTGATGAAACTTGACGCCTTTCGATTCTTACTTCCCTCTTCAACTGCTCAATTTGCTTTTGAAATTGCTGGACCTGCTGGCCATATGCATTTGTTCCGAACATTTCGAAGCTGTCCTGTTCTTTTCCTCCTGCTGTAACTTCCAAAGAAAAGAGGAAATACTTTACTTTCCTGCACAGAACAGAGAGTGAACAGTGAGAGTGAATCAGCTCGATCCCATAATGCAATATCACTTCATGGTAAAGTCCATAGCATAAGTTAGGCACATACCTTCAATTCTTAGCCTGTGGGCTATTAATTCTCGACTCGGATTACACCTCTTTAAGCCCCCGAATAAGCAATTGCCCTGGAAGTGAATAGTTACAAGCCTCTATCCTCAATCAACTTTGGATGCTCTAGTTTTCAAAAGAACCGCGGGCATTGGGACCTAAACAAACTAGAGACTGGAAAAATGGTGAAACTCGAAGCAACGAAATTAGTGAACAGTGCTAAGATAATAATTGACGTTGATTTTATTTATGTTTATAAATCTAAAACATGTTCTTAGAAATCGTTGGTGGGGCTGAGCCCCACTAGCCCCAATACCAGGCATTAATTTAAGGAATTTTTATCACTGTTCAAAATAGCGTAAAACGCAGATTTTCGGGGCCAAATAGGGTGTGGCTAAGGGTGTGGCTAAGTTTTGACTGGACCCCTTTAAGACGGACCAAAAACGTTTTACATTGTTTTCAGGGACATTTTCAGTGTAATTTGGCCTAACTACAGCTACCACTGATTATATATAAATCTTACCAGAACATATAAAACCTGGCCAAAAATAACAGAGTAGCAAACCTGATAACAGGGAAGTTTTTCTTCATTTCCACCCTATGGAGTCAATATAGTATTTTTTGTGAATGGGGGAAATTGAGTGGAATGCAATTACTGTGTTTGTAAGTTATTGATTGATCCTTAAAAGGCAAATCATTTGTTTCTAGCTGTTTCTCTCCATAAAATGCTGTTTTTAGAGACTTGATCTCTAATCATGTTACATATTTCAATGTTCTATAAACTGTCCAAAACACAGCCTTACTGTATATTACATATTTTTTATGTAATCTGAGGTTTTTCTATATAATACAAATCTGGAACTGCTACTAATCTTTCAAAACTTTGCCTGGCTAGCTTTATGGATACCCAGACCAAAAGACAATTCTTATCCAAATTATCCAAATATAAAAAGATAGAAATTGTATTCACTTCAATTATTGTGGTGTATTGTGTTTCATACAAAAGAAGAGAAGCAGGCCTCCATTTGATGGCGGTAGTGGCATTGAGTCTTTTTTTGGCCATGAAATACAGAAAGCCCAGGTTGTCGGTGGCCCTAGGATTATCTGAAAGAAGATTTTGTGACCACGCCCTTTAAATTGGCTTAAAATATATTTCAGAATATTTCTAGCAGCTATTTTCTTGCAAACATTTAAAACATTTTGTTTTTTTCAAGGCATGCTTTTATTACATTTGATTAATTTGGTTATTTTGGTTATTTGATTATTTTTCTTAAAATCAAGTTTAAGAAGCGATGACCGTCGCTTGGCTAAAACTTTACTGCATCGGATTGGGGTATTCATTTTTGCAAAGTGCAGGGTGAAGGAAATTCTAAAGCCAATAAAAATAATTGTAAAGCAGCTTCAATCGTCCAGTGAAAATGGCGTCACAGCACCGTCTGTAGCAAATCACTCTAAGAAAATCTCGTACACTTTTTGGGAAAATCCTATTGTTTTATCTGAAAATCCCTGGAAATCCTCTTGTTTTAGGGAGAATCTCGTACGCTATTTGCAAGAGTGAATAACCCCTCGGTCTGTAGAGAAGACTTGCAGTAACGATGTAAAAACTTGACTGAGGACCAATACGTGTAGATGGTTGCGGAGTTTTCGCGGTAAATGTATTTAAAAAATAGTTGCACTTGATTTTAAGAAAATTTTCAAATTTTTCCCGAGAAGTTTTTGTTTAGCATCGGAAAAATATTTCAATTTGTTAAGCACCACTGACACACTTCCATTATCTTTGATTAGACTACGCCTTTTAGTATAGAGCCTGGTTTCACATAGTCGTTGAGAGTCGTTGGCGGTCATTGAGGGTTGTTGGTAAACTGAAAGACCGTCAATGACTACCGTAAATCCTCGAATTAGCCCACTGGGGGCTTACTTATTTTTGATATTTTTAGATGGGGGCTTATTCGAAGGGCAGGGGCTTATATGAAGGGGGGGGGGCTTAGAAAATTATTGTAGACATTAAAAAGACATTATTAAAAGACCTCGATTATTTTAGCAGGAATTTTTTATGGGCATTTAATTATTTTTACCAAAAGTATGAATATTTGAGGTAATACAATTAAAGGCCAAAGACAACCTCAAATGGCAAAAATCATTAAATTTAAGGGGGCCAATTCAAGGATTTACAGTAGCAGCACCTAATTGAGGCGGAGTTAACACGTGCATTAATAAGGGTAGATTCCCCTCAGCCACATACCATGAAGACAGAGAGGGAATGCAATCCTGCATCCCTGACATTTGGGAGTAAGATCTTGAAGGGAGACATAATATTTTAAGGTTATTTAGTTTAATGGAAGTTAAGTTGTTTATTTTCTGAAGAAATGTTTCTTTTCACGATTTTCACGTTACCTCAGCCTTTTTGCTTGTTTCTTTCCACTAAACATCACCGACCCCAACCCCCAACTTACGAACACTTCACTTTAAACCTTGCCTGCATTGAACATTGGGAGTCTGCCACCCTTACTCCACTGACTTTGCCAAAGCTACGGGCTTTGCCAAAGCAAGGATAACTTGGCGTCGGAGTTTCGTTTTTCTATTGCCTGGACCTGGCTCACAAATTTAAGTGCATGGAAACTGGTCGGAAGCGACTTTTCGATAACAAGAGAACAAAAGAAACGGCAGATTTGTATTCTGAAAGTATCGTCAAGAAAATTACAAAGTCTGATTTCATCGAGACCCTGGACTTCCGCGAAACGCTAATTATAAAACTGTGACCGAATAATTTCATGTTAGAGGCATATTTAAATAAGGGCAGAGCCAGTGGCGGCTCGTAACTTTCACAGTTGGGAGGGCAGAACATCAATATTGCAATAATCGATAGAAAGGTCGAGTTGGCAAATTTTTCACTGTATTCATGGTTCGATGTTGATCGTCATGGAGCGCAGAAGAAAAAGCATATATAGATGTGGTTGTTGTTTAGCGATGATGTCATTTTATGGGAAAAATTTTTCTTGCCCAGAATTCCTCCAAATAAGCCAATCATAGGCCGCGTTTCGCAATGCCCGAGGTCGAAAATTAGCTTGTGCGCATGTCGGCTAGGGGGACAAAAAACTTTGCCCGTAAAATGACATCATCGCTCAAGGCACTAGCGGGCCAGAAGCGAGGCTAAGGACGAGACGGGATAGCAAGGAGCTTTTTCTAGAAGAGATACAAACTTATATAATTAACCACAGTAAGACTTTCTTCAAAATTAAATATGAATATCATAGATTTCCTTTGAATCTTTTTGAGGGGGCATTGCCCCAGATGCCCATTAGCAAGAGCCGCCACTGGGCAGAGCAAGCAATACTTTGAAATTCTAGCTTTTATTCCAAAAAATTTACAATAAGATTTTACAAAACAGTACCCCAACTTGTAAGAAAGAGAGAACCAGTAGCGTAACGAGAGGGTAAGGGGGCGCCCCCCCAAATGCTCAGAAAGTTGGTCTCTGAGAAAAGTGCAAAGTTCTGCAATAAAATTTGTACCTCAGGGTAAGAGAAAAATATTTAAAAGCAACAAAGCTTCATTTGCCAAAAAGTTATTCATACGATGAAACAACAGAAAAAAAGAAAGCAATGATTTTTGAAACTCTTCTCTCATGTTTCCGTCAATGTTCTACCTTGGAGAGTTAGCAGTAGGCTCTGCGCGTTTTGTGCAGGGCTGTCGCTAATCACTTTCACTTAGGGGGGTGCCAGTCACAAATTTGCCGACAAATAGGGCGTGGCCTAAGGTGTTTCAATTTTTAGGTGTGGTATTTCGACACAAGTATGTTCTCGTTAGTCAATCATCACTTCTATTTTCGAGTAACTGTGGGTACTTAGTTTGCACGAGTAGATCTCACTAATAGGACCGCCACGGGGTCTCGAAGGCCTTGAAGGAAACCCGAAAGACGAGGCCCCGAGAAATTTTTTGCGACCACGCCCTCTAGATTTTCTTAAAATGCATTTCAGAATATTTCTTGCAGTCATTTCTTGCAATCGTTTAAAACTTTTAACTATTTTTAGGCATACTTCTACGTTTCATTGATTTCATTCTTAAAATGGAGTTCATTACTGCTAGAAGCCCCATCAACCTCAAGGCCCTGAGGCACTTTGCCCCTTGCTCCCCTCGGCAGTCCTGCTTACAGTGGCTTCCAGTACCTCCAGGATCAACGTTCGGAGTTTTTCAATAAACTTTGTCCCCAAACTTTAAGTAGAAATTAGGTCGCGCTGGATATTGGATATTAGATTCTAGACTCCGGCTGCCGACAGGGAGTCATTTGAAATTTTTGGTGGACATTTGCCCCTCCTTGACACCCATAGCACCAGCTGTACCTATTTTGAATTGCTGAGGGTTTTTGGGTGATACTTTTTCGGTCTTATCCTCATCTTATCCAAACTTTTTGCTAAAGCTATCGCATTGAGAACTTCGAAAGTAAAACCCAACAAAACTCTACTTTTAGAAAATTTGCCGACAAGAATTTTCTAGGGGGTGCCGCACCCCCCCCCCCACTAGCGACGGCCCTGGTTTTATGATAGACGACTGGACGTAAGAATAGGTCTTTTGTATAGTCAGACCTACCCTGGGTACCAGATAGTGAGTCTGGTACCCAGGGTAAGTCAGACCAATCTGAAATTTGAATGGCAATCGAAATCCGGTGGTACAGGGCGCCTTTTAACAAAATAGAGCAATTTTTCTCAGCAAATCGGCAACCGTGCTACGTTAAAATGTCACACACAATTGTTATTAACTTAACTTTGAAACAACTGATGGTATGTAGATGTAAAGAGGTCAATGTCGCAAAAACAACAAGAAGCAACCCAATGTGATGCAAAAAATAAGTAGAACTTGAACGACCAGAATATTGAAATTGAAGTACAAGTCAACTAAATTTTCGCAACGGTATACAAGGCTTTATTAGAGTGTGCTATTCAATTTTTCGTTGGAAAGCTGCTATGCAATAAGAATTGGCAAGAGGTGCCCCCTCTAAACAGCTGGCATCGGGAAAGGCTCAAGGCCCAGATACCCCATATAGCTAGTGCTTATGTTACCCTGCTGTACTCCTTAATATGTTACCGTCATTGGTAGTAACTCCCTAACAAGCCTCACTCCACCCCTTGAAGCAGTACTCTTAAGTGCTATTGGCAATAAATACTTCCTACCAATCAGGGGCGGATCTAGAGCAAATTTGAAGGAGGGGCAGTTGGTAGTTGGGGCGCTGAAAAAATTTCAAATATTGGTTACGAGAGTACGCTGTAAACAACAATTTCAGATACCTTTTCAGAATAAACAACATAACTTTGATGTAATCCTTGAAGCAAATTAACCTATCGGTCCAAGAACTTTTCTCATCTGATTCTCATTCTTCAAAAAGGCGCACAATTTCCAAAAAAGGGGCGCCAGACTTGCTTCATTGAAAAACAGTTTTTCAACAGTGGCGTACCCAAGGGGGGAATAGGGGGTCCGGACCCCCCACTTTTCTAAAATATGGTCTTCGAGATTTGTCCAAAAACGATGTAAAACTCATTGGGGGGGGGGGGGGGGGGTGGTAGTATACTGATGCTTTTATCAATAACAATTGTAAAAT